CTGGCACTACAGGTGGTAATACCGGTGGTGCTGTCTCTTATACACATCTCCCACCCGCTTCGAATTTATGATGACGATCAATAAGTAAACCATTTCTCATCGCAGAATAGAATTGATGGGGATTGAATAAAAATAACACACATGTAAAATTAAGTGAAAAATATATTGTTTTCTATTTGAAGATGAAAAGAAGAATGCAAATGCATTTTGTGTTGGGTGAGCAAAAAATTTCACCCACTCAAATGATTAAAGATATACATAAATCCATAGTACAATTTCGTCGAGGCCACTCGTTCGAGAAACTGAGGATTATACATAATTAAATGAAAAACATTGATGAGACACTCTGTACAACTAGCTGCATTTCTGCTCACTCAGTGTGACTAGAACTTAACAACTGTCGAATAAAGAAAGGGAAAACGACTCTGATGGAAAATTGTGCGAAGTCAGCAAAGAAGAGGGTCATCGAAATGAAGCAATGCATCGGTTCATTTATTCTTTACTCACTTATTCTCGTAATTGAATGTGTAAAAGTAAAAACCTTAATGAAAAATATAATAGATATGTTATTTACAATAAAGAATTTGATTGCTTTTTCAATTATCACATGGAGAATCAAACTACCATTGATAAATATTCATGATAAAGCGAAAGATTATCAAAATTTGATTATTCATTTTGATTCTAACAAGAGTTGCAGTTATTTATAAAACGGAGATTCGAATGTAGTTTTTGTCAGACAATCTCAATCCATTAAAATTTTACTCCGCTGCAAAAATATCGCATTTATTAAAACAGTCGAAACTCACCAAAATGCCGCATAAAAACTAAAAATAGTTCTCAATTCTGTACAGAATATCTCAATAATTTGAACAAAGGCCCGAAGAAAATGATCATTACAGTAATTATACATGCATCCTCTCCATCATTGCCAGAATCTAAAATACCGTATTATTTCACCTACAGAAGTTCCTAATACTCATTCACCATTCAATTATCATTTCATAACTCATTGTCGATCCTGCAATTTTTTTTTTTCAAATAAAAAAAATATCAAATTTCTCCACTCCTTGGAATCTCTGTACATATATATAGACTCCACATTTCCATTGAATGTTTCAAATAATAAGTTCAAAAATCAAAATAAGGAGGATTTCCGGAGAAGAGAAATAGGGTGATAAGTTTACTGAATTATTAACATTTGACTGTGTTCTCGTCCTCTAAATGGTACACCATGACCCATCTTGCATCCAGATTTCTATGGAGCACTCGAAAAAAAAAATATCCTCACAATGAACTAGAGATCCGACCAATTAGCCCCTCAGGTATAGATATTCCAAATTTTTATTTTTTTCCTCATTGAAGAAGTTTTGAAGAAAATTGCGAGCTAATAAAAACCATTTGCTAGTTAGTACTTTTTTAAAAATAAATTTTTGAAAAATCACCCCTGAAAAAAAAGGCGTTATCCCCCCCATTTCATTATTTCCAAAAAATTTTATCACCAATCGGTAGCAAATTGTTTGAAGATTTTTGCGAGTTGAGAAAAAATCGTCCATGCACTCCTATTATTGTGTAAATTAACAATTCCAATTTCAACTGAAAACCAGAGTTGATGACCAGAATTTGTAGCAGAGATGTCAGACCAGATATGAATGTTTTTTTTGGCTCAAATGAAAGAGCGGGTCGAGGAATGGCGTACAGAAGTCTTTAAAGATGACAAATCTCTCTAAAGAAGATGTCCGTTTTCAATTGAAAGGCGCAATTGTGACAATATTGTCCAGTGGGGTCTAGGAGTCTCCCCTGGTTCAAAACCATCTTTAGAGGCTCTAGCACGTCATTTCTCGACCCGCTCTTTCATTTGAGCCCAAAAAAACATTCATATCTTGTCTGACATCTCTGCTACAAACTCGGGCCTACAACTCGGGCTTTCAATTGAAGGCCCGAGTTGTAGACCCGAGTTTGTAGCAGCGATGTCAGACAAGATATGAATGTTTTTTTGGGCTCAAATGAAAGAGCGGGTCGAGAAATGGCGTGCTAGGGCCTCTAAACATGACAAATGTCTCTAAAGATGATGTCTGTTTTCAATTGAAAAGCAGAGTTGTGACAACATTGTCTAGTAGGGCAATGGGGTCTAGGAGTGTCTATAGAACATTGGGGTGGAGGAGTCTCCCCTGGCTCAAGACCATCTTTAGAGGCCCTAGCACGCCATTTCTCGACCCGCTCTTTCATTTGAGCCCAAAAAAACATTCATATCTTGTCTGACATCGCTGCTACAAACTCGGGTCTACAACTCGGGCCTTCAATTGAAAGCCCGAGTTGAAGACCCGAGTTTGTAGCAAAGATGTCAGACAAGATATGAATGTTTTTTTGGGCTCAAATGAAAGAGCGGGTCGAGAAATGGCGTGCTAGGGCCTCTAAAGATGGTTTTGAACCAGGGGAGACTCCTAGACCCCAATGTTCTATACATACTCCTAGACCCCATTGTCCTCCTAGACAATGATGTCACAACTCTGCTTTTCAATTGAAAACAGATATCATCTTTAGAGACATTTGTCATGTTTAGAGGCTCTAGCACGTCATTTCTCGACCCGCTCTTTCATTTGAGCCCAAAAAAACATTCATATCTTGTCTGACATCGCTGCTACAAACTCGGGTCTACAACTCGGGCCTTCAATTGAAAGCCCGAGTTGAAGACCCGAGTTTGTAGCAAAGATGTCAGACAAGATATGAATGTTAACGCCTTTTTTTGCAGGGGTGATTTTTCAAAAATTTATTTTAAAAAAAGTACTAACTAGCAAATGTTTTTTATTAGCTCGCAATTTTCTTCAAAACTACTTCAATGAGGAAAAAAATAAAAATTTGGAATATCTATACATGAGGGGCTAATTGATCGGATCTATGAACTACATATTCTCTCAATATCTCAAGTACTTGTGGAGGAAAAGAAGCCTTCAAGTACCACTTAGAATCATAAATGTCCCAGCCCCCCACGTCTGATATTACAATTTACCCCGTCCACTTCTTCGTTCTCAAGTTATTCGCAAAACGTTCGCAAAACTGAATAAACGTATCTTCCTATTCCACCAAACCAGAGTGCTATTAATTAAAATATAATCCTTCGTACTAAATATGTTGATGCTAATGGCAAATTCCATTGAGTTAGATATTATTTCATACATAATTCTTTATACTTTGTTTGGTAACAACCACGAAAAAAGATTTCTTATGTAATTGCATTACAAATTGGAAGAACGAAAGAACAAACATTTTCATTTCGCTTTATATACTTGCTTTATTCTCCTTCAACCTCAAATCTCTTGATTCTCCTCAGTAGTTATTTCATTATCGACAAATTCAACGTGAGTGAATGGAAAATGTCCAACTCTACCGTGTAATTCACCCTCCCACTGGCCATTCATATTCATTTTAGTCACCTTGATCATGTCACCAACCTCAAGTTTCAGTGCTGTTTTGTCGTAGGCATTTGGCACACGTGCCTGCTTAACTTTTGCAAATGCTGGTAATTTACGTTGAATATTTGAACGACGCGTTGCTGTGGCTGTTACTGTTGTTGGGGTTATTGTTACTTGCGTTGTATCTGCATTAACCGAGGGTGTTGTGGATGATGGGAGTGAATTCGATGCTGTACTGGAGCCACTGCTTGTACTGTCTGGCCGTACATTGTTCTCAATTCCATGATTATCTTCTTCGTACTTTTGTACATATGGCACTGGTACGAGGCCTGTTTGACCAACGCTGTTACGTGCCGTCCACCACTGTTCCTCGTCTTTTGTTACGACTGTGAGAATCTCACCTGTGAAATTGATCGTTTGTTATTGAGATTTATGTAAATTCTACTTTGATAAGCTGAGATAATCCAGAAATATGATACACTGAGAGAAAAATAAACACTTCTTTGGGACAACAAAATCACTAGTTGAATATCACCAAAAAATAAATTTTCTGAAGAGAAACATCTCTTGATTCAAACAAATCACTTACATTCTATTAAAAAATCAAAGAATTTGTGAATGCTTGCGATTTTAAATAAGCCTATTCAAAAGTCCCAAAAGTCACTAACAGTGTATGCAGTATTTCACAAATATATGTCCTGCAATATTTTGCAAAATGGTGGCAGAAAATCAATGAATTCAATTTTCGCAAAGTGCCTTTTACCTTTTCTAAAAGGCAGATCATCCGGATCATTGCCCTCAAAATCATATTTAGCCATGATTCTCTGTATTTTCTTGGGTGCTGGCCTTATAAGTGGTGTTGTATCTAAATAATGAATCTTGTAGAATGCCAATAAATTCGGAATATCTGAAAACGTCTGATCTCCGATTCTGTAACGTATGTGATCACCCTGCTGCATCTTATTGATAATGTAGTGACTGACTTTGCTATCCTCCCTCACACAGAGTACGAAATCACCGTGAATTGAGGTACTGTCACGCACCAAGAATACACCACTCTCTTTCTCCCCCATCAGCACGTCCGAGGCGTCCTGCCTAGACATTGCCCCGAAGTACCAACTGAAATGCATTCAAAAGCCATGATTGCGCATTCAGAAAGCATTGAGTTATGAAAAAATAGTTGGACTAGATCATGATGAATGTTTTAATTCCCAGTCAACACTGAACTTTGCATTACGCACAGGTTTACTTTAGGGGGAGACTACTATGAGTTTTAAAAGTTGTGGGTTATTAGAGTGAGACTTTTCATACGTTGAGGATCGATTATATAGATCTGAAAACGAATAATTAGTGCAAAAATTTTTTTGTGTATTATTCGTTTGCCCGAAAACGCTTAAAATGCTAAAAACAGTCCAGGGCCTCCAATTTTTGAGCTACAAAAGATTTTTTCTTTCGACATTTTTGGAAAAATGTGCGGAACAACAATTACGAACCAGTTTTTTGAAATTCGACTCCTACACAGCTGATTTCGGTTTTTTTCATGAAAAAAAAATTTACTATTTGTGTAAAAAAATACAAAAAAAGCAAATTTAGCCACGGAAGAGGCGAATTAAGAAGAAATAACTCGTAATTGTTATTCCACATATTTTTCCGAAAATTTTGAAAAAAAAATCTTTCGTAGCTCAAAAATTGGAGGCCCTGGACTGTTTTTAGCATTTTAAGTGTTTTCGGGCAAACAAACAATAAAAAATTTTTTTTTGCACTAATTATTCGGCTTCGGATCTATATAATCGATCTTTAACATATGAAAAGTAGTAGTAGTCTCCCTTTAACAACAACACAGTTTTCGTAACAGAATGACAAATGCCCTAGACCAGTATACATGGAATTCCTTCATTTTGTTGGCGCATGTGATGTTTTACATTAAGACTATCTACACGGAGAAAAAAAGCAGGAAAAATTACTGTGGTACACTGAGAATAATGATGTTTTTTTGAGAAGTACGTCTTTACGTGTATTAAGAACTTCATGGCTTGAGAATTAACAAGAAAGGAATATCTTTCACTGAGACAAAATTTTCAGCGAGGGATTTTTTACTCGTCCGATTGATGAAGGGCAAGTGGTTCATACCAAGAAAGCATCTTCTCAAAATAAATCAAGTAGTTTTTGCTTTGAAATATTTTTTATTTGAGACTGAAAACCTATTGAATAGATTGATTGAACTAGACTTGGTTGGAGAAAACACTTTCCTGTCATAAACAAATTATCCTCGTATTTGGGACAAGTACAAAATCTCATGAAGAAAGTTTTTTCTTTCTTTGCGTAAGATATTTTGTTCTTGTCAATTTTCGAGTCATGAGAACCCATTTTTCCATGCTACATGGGGCAACAAAAACAGTTTTTTGCCCAGTGTAGCATGGAAAAATGGGTTCATCTCGGCGGATCCGAAATAAATCAGGTGCCAGTAATAGAAATGTTGCTGCGAAATACACTTTTTGCTTTTTTCTCGTATTACATGCGAAAAACTCCTGGACTTCACTGGAAAACTTCCGGTGTCGGCATCTGATTTTTTCAGGTCAGTCAAAATAAACCCATTCTATTGTGCTCCGTAGTCATTTTTTCTCTACTTCTTCTTACAGAAGTTGTAATCCCCACATTTCAACTACAGGGTAGACACATTGAATTCTAATGAATTGTCACATACCAACCTAATTTCACATTGTGCAATCTGAATTGTACAATTTGAACATGTACATGTTCAATTTATCGTATCAATTTTTTTTTTCAATTTTCAATAATTGAACTTTTCAAAGTTGCTTCTTGGCAAAGTCCACAGCCGAAAAATTATTGACAAATGGGGTAAAATGGGCATCCGAAAAAGTTGGTCCTAATCAACTTTTAATAAAAAAAAATTTCAACAGACATTTTCCAACAGAATAATCTCGGTATCTTTTTATAGAAAGAAATTAACAAATAAACTTCAACTCTATTACATTTTACACTAAAATTTAAAATATAGAGTAGCCTTGAATTTCCTGTTTTACTATGGAAATTACTTTGAAATTATGGATTTTTTTCAATGAACAATTGCACGCTCTACACAACTGATCTTTTGTCCATTTGCGAAATTTGTAAGATGACTACTTTTCTACTTACAAAGGATATCACCATAAAACAATTAGTGGACGAGAGGATAAATGAGCAAGGAAAAATTTGGTTTACCACCCCTCACGACATAAGTCAAAATTGAGTTTTTTTTTTCAATTTGAAACTCACAGTCATGACCAATGTTCCAAAAATGAAATAATACTGTTGAAACATTAAAAATTGAGGAAAAAATCGACCTGTCCATTTTACCCCGTTTCTGCTTTACTTTACAACTCCTACGACGCAGTCTTATGACAATGTTTGTTTTTATAACCTTCAAATGAAGTCGGAACAGTAGATTTGATCCAATTCGACTCATTATTTAAATCCATTGGTATCCATATTGCCCCACCCTCCTCCAATTGGTTTCGTACGTTTCAATTTGGTAGAATTGAATATGTACATCGTGTAATTAAAATGTGAGGATTACAATTCCTGTAGACAAGCTCTTAAAGCAAAACATCAAATATGTCTAAAAATGAAGATACTCCACTGTGTCTAATAGATGATTTTGCCGAGAAAATGCGATGTCGGGGTTAAAATACGCCTACGCAAATTGACATGAAACTCAAACAAAAGATTGTGGACAAAAAATTTGCAAAGTCAAATGAATTGACAAAAATCACAGTAAAGACTTGAATGAAATAATTTATCAAATTACCTGGACTTGTCATACTGATCGAACGTGGCGGTCATTGTTTACCCGGTTAAAAAGGAATCGGTTGTCAACAAAAACCGTTCCAACGCTCAATGAAACATTGAAAAATCATCACAATGCGACGAATAAGATTTTTGGGTTATTCATGCAGTTGTACTGCGGTACATTGCGTCGGTGTGGTCCACAAAAACAAATCTGTCCTCCAATTCGCTCCGAAAAAAATTTCACTTCACTTATGAGCAACCAGTGGAAACAACCCACGATTATTCAAAATTTATTATCCACCGTTAGGTAAAGTCTTTACGGATGAGACTGATGATTAGAAAAAACTGATTAAAAATCTGGCAAGTCTGTCTATTCGATCAATGACTTTTATGGTGAGTTCTGGAACATTGTCACGAGTTTTTTTTAGAGAATTGAGTTATTCATAGCTCCGCTGGTATCACTTGTGATAATTCTGTTGATGTCTCCTTCGTTCACTGAATTTTCATGATTATTTCGGATTTCGTCTCAATGTTCATTAATTAATACTAAATTGTTGAATGAAAAAATCCGACAAATGAGACTGACGCACACACATCTCCACTCCAGAAAAAGTAGATAGAGCCAGTGTGCGGGGTTGGTGGACAGCCATCGATTATGGAGTAATTAGAGGTTTAAACTTGTAAAGGGGGGCGCTTTTAAAAAATTATTAAGAATCCTCGGATGGTAATGACGGTGTCTATACCGCAGAATGTTGGAAATGGCTCTACCGACGTGCGCAGCTGTGTCTACACCGGATGTCTGTGAATCCCTATCCCTTATTTAGAGTTTACATGAATGTTTATGATTGTTGTTTGATTGTTGAAACTTTCAATTAATACTCCTGGAACAATTTTCGATTGAAATGAACGTGATTCATCATTTATCAAGGTAACATGGAGATAATTCTTGTTAAATTTCAACACGTGTAACGTGTGAAACATGAAACAAAAAACATTTTTTTGTTTATTTAATGTTCTTGACTCAGTCCTGTCTGAATGATTTATCTCTAGATCATTCGTTACAGATAAATAATTCGCAATAATGGCTGACACAGTTGAAGAAACGAGGAAAAAAATTCGTAGAGGGAAACGTGGCTCAGGAAAAGGTCCCAAGTTGGAGGATGAAATCAGCAGATTGGTGCAGAATGAAGTCCAGAAGTATGGAAAGCAATTGCAGAAACTGGCGGAGATGCAGTATGCTCCAAGCCACCACAGACAACCTGAAGCTCAAACTCCCAGATCAAAATGTTGGAAAGCTGAAGTGAGGAGGAAGATAAAGACAAAGAAAGCTGGCGTAAAAACTAAAGATCCACCAGACAGCCGGAAGGGTCATACACCCCACTACAATCACAAGTTGACAAATATTACTGAAAAATCGATACAAAGAAATATGGAAACGATAGAGAACGATCTTCGTGCGCGTCTCACGGAGAAAATTCTCAAAGACATCTCGGAGATGAGAATAACTGGACCAAACATCCAAAATAACACACAGCCTCTTCCGGGGAATCCCCAGAGCTTTGGATTTCCCAAGTCGATAAATCGAGATAAGATGAGAGAGATATTGAATGAGAAGACCAAGGCCTCGCAGCAGTACATACCAGGAGTTTTGAAAATCAGTAATAAGAATCCAAAATATTCTTACGTGTCTAGTGGAAAGGATGATGAGGATATCCTCATCGATGGGTACTGCGACAGAAACCGAGCGATGGAGAAGGACCTGGTGGTCATCCAGATTCACCCGCAAGACAGGTGGATACAGAAAGCTAATGGGAGGGTGCAAAAAACAGCCGTTATCGTGTCAGTTCTCGAGAAAATTCATCCCAGAAAGGCTATTGGCATTCTAGTTTATCAGAAAGAACTCCTGAGGTTTCATCCAAGAGACCCAAAGTTCCCAGCCATGACGATTGATCCAAAAACTCTCCCAGAAGAGTTCAAGGAGATGGATAATATCAAGAGAACTCTATTCATTGCCAAAATGCTCAATTGGTCGACGCCATCTCAGTGTTCGGGGAAAATCTTGGGGAAGATTGGAGATGTTGGAGACTTGGAGGCAGAAACCGAGGCGATACTACTCGAGAATGGCTTGGACGTGACTCCTTATGATGAAAAATTGTACCAACATCTGCCAGGTCCTGATGACGTCCTCCAAGAGGCTGATATTGATGGCAGGGAGGATTGGAGATCGAATTGTGTGTTCACGATCGATCCAGTTACTGCTGTGGATCTGGATGATGCTGTCTCGTGTAGGAGACTTGGAAATGGCAACTTTGAAGTTGGGGTTCACATCGCTGATGTCACATACTTCTTGGACGCCAGTTCACCTCTTAATGAAATGGTTTGAAAATCAATATTTTGTGCACGGTGTGGAGTCTTATTCAAATTAGCGATCGAAATATTAATTAGTCGTTTTTATTTCGAACTTTCCAGATGTGATAAATAGAGCGGTAGTCTAATGGCATCAAACGAATATCGTTTGAAGTAGTTTTTATTCACATTTATCGACTCTACAGGATTGAAATGGTTTAATTCAGAGAAATAACTGTATCTAGATCGTTCTTTTGATGTAGGGCTAGTTGCCATTACATGAATGAAAAAAAAGAGAAGATGTTGAACGTTTTCAAAGAGCCTTGAAAATTCATGTTGGAAAATATATTCAAAAGGGCGGAAAATGCAAGTAGATAATTTATCGTGGTAAATGACGCTTCGACACGCTTTTGCTGGGGTAATAAAAATGATCGTCCAACTGCCCTTTGCTGCGGCAAAATATTAATTAGCAATGACTGGCTGCAAAAAAATCGAATCGCTCTGAAAATTTTATGAGAGCTTGGTCTCGCTCACTCCTGTGGAAAATACAACCAAGACAGTCGGAAACATGAAATTTTTTTCATTTTAGATTTGATCTGAATTGTTCTGAGTTAAAAGCATAAATGAAATAACCATTTGTGAAATTTGGAAAAACATAAAAACATTGCATAATTTTCCATTCGTCTTCTACGTTTGTTCTCCCTCATAAATTATCCTTTTGTTTTTTCGAAGGTCTCGAAACGAGCTACTACAATCTACTTAGCGAACACAGTCTACCACATGCTGCCAAAACCCCTCTGCCAACTGTGTTCTCTCCTCCCTGGAAAAGATCGTTTAACATTCTCAGTAATCTGGGAGTTGACACCAGCCGGCGACGTAGTCAGTCATCGTTTCACCCGAAGCATCATAAACTCTTGTTTCCAAATGTCCTACCAACAGGCTCAAAAAATGATAGAGAACCCACACCTCGACTGGTCGGCGGTGGATCTCCCCAACGTGCAAAATGGATTCACAGCGTCTGACATTTGCCGAGCAGTCAACGACTTGTTCTCCATCTCAAAATCCCTGAGATCAGACAGATTCGAGGGTGGAGCTCTGAAGATCGACCAACCGAAAATCCAGATGGTCCTGGACGAAGCTACAAAGCTGCCGATATCCTACTGCCTGGAGGAAAGAGTCGAGAGTAATACACTCATAGAAGAGTTTATGCTTCTGGCCAACATGACAGTTGCCAATCACCTCTACAAAAAATTTCCAAAGACTGCACTCCTTCGTCATCACGATCCCCCCAAGCTCCAGACCCTCTCCAGGACTTTGCATCCTCTCAAGAACTTCGGAGTTCACTTGAACACAGAGTCAGCTGGAGCACTGCAAACGAGCATGTCGAAGTACGAACAAACAATTGAGAAAGGACTGAAATATTCTGACGAAGAGTTTGTCTCCAACTGCCGAATGATGGTGATTAATTCTCTCTGTGCTCAGGCAATGGTCAGGGCTAATTACATTTGTTCTGGAACTGCCAAGAAGTCTTCCTTGAGGCATTATGCTCTGAATGTTCCCCTATACACACACTTCACGTCTCCCATCAGAAGATACTCTGATTGCGTTGTTCATAGACTACTTGTCTCTGATCTTGAAGGCGCTCCACTGCCAGAGGACTGGAGTCCCGAGGTCTGTGCTAAACTAGCTAAGAATTGCAACAGAATGAAGGAGAGTGCGAAGAGTGCGCAGGAGAAGAGCAATGAGATCTATTTTACTCATCTGATTGCTCATAATGGAGCTTGTGAGCAGCTGGCGATTGTTATGACTGTCAGGCAGTACAGTCTTGATGTTATCCTGTGCCATGTGGGCCTTACACTCAAAGTTGAATTGTCTGAGACTCAGAACCATGCTACTGTTGAGTACATTAATGATGATTCTGTTGAGACTGTGAGGATCCTCTGGAAAAAGCCAGAAGTCACTCAGGTAATCAATGTTTTCACTATCCTCAATGTCAGGGTGAGGAAGCATCCCAAGGTTTACTGCATTCAGGCGAGTCTACTACCTCCAAAGTTTCATTACTGACTTTTCGTACTTGATGCTTATTTTTCATTTGTCTAGGAAATATTTATTTGACTGAATTTGTGAGTTAGGAGGATTGAGAAGATTTTGGTTGAAAATGTTTTGGAATCCTTTATCATGAAGTTAGAAATGATATTCAACAATGCAATTTATTTTTTGGATTATTTCGTGGAAGCATCTGTAAATAGTTGACAAATAAAAAAGTTGTGGGACAGGATTTGATGGTGGTTACCAATATTTCATTAATTGAGATTGAAAATTTATCCAATCAACACCATTTTCAATCTTAGGATGGGGAAGCATCCCAAGATTTACTGCATTGGAGCGAATCTGCTGTCTCCGAAAATTCATTATTGATTGCTAGCACTTGATGCTTATTTTCCATTTTTCTAAAAAATATTTATTTTACTAAATTCGTCAGTCAGAAAGGTTGAGTACTGGTTGAAAATGTGTTGGAATCCTTTATCATGAAGTTAAGAATGAGATTCAATAATTAAGTGCATTTTTTCGATCATTATTGCGGAGAAGCATCTGTAAATAGCCGAGGAGTAAATACGAAGATTCCATCAATCGAGATTAAGAATTTATTCAATTATCGCTCTCCTCAGTGTCAAAGTGAGGAAACATCCCAATATTCCTCCGAAAATTAATTACCAATTTGTTGCACTCGATGCCGATTCTCCACTTTTTTAATAAATATTTATTTGACTGGATTTATGAATGAGAAAGATTGAGAATATTTTTATTGGAAATGTTTTGGAATCGCTTACCATGGACTTAAGAATGATATTTCATCATGAAATGTATTCTTCGTGTCATTGTTCATAACAAAGGAGACGTTCACCAAGGATTCCATTGCGGCTTTTGATATTCCATTACTCCAGGTCGAGGAATCATGATAATGAAAGAAATTTCATTTCATTACATTATTTTATTATTAAGAATTAAAATAAATTTACAAGTTTTTCTTTCATACACGAATCTCTCGTTTCCAAGTGCAAGGGTAAACCCTTGGGAAATGAATGAGAAACAAAAGTAATGATAAAAATACTGGTTCCATTTATTCCAAGTTAAATATTATAGTAGTTTGAACTTACGTGTTTTATGTACACGAGGGAATATAATTTTCTACATAAACCATGTACCTAATTGTACAATTTCATTAGAAATTATTCCTTCTAACGTCTATGAAGGAGAAAAAAATGATATCCATTCAAAAATGTTTCAACTACTTTATTTCCAGTGACTTTTCAAAAATTTCGTTTCATTTTATGTCTCATCCTCTCACCGAGTAAATATAGATAAAATTCATTCAATTGATTACCTATTTTTGACTTTTCATTGCTTAATATAAATTTCAATTAGATCACATATTGAATTTTTTTCAATGTACTTCCTTGTTGTTTACGATAAATAAATTTCGACAAAAATATTCTACGATAATTGGGCTAACTATGGATTTTTGATCATAATTAACTCGTGATGTATCTGGGTTTTAATTGATTTACATACGCAGCTTACATAACTGAGGAGCAGCAAATGGAAATATTAATTTTTTTAAGACAATACTAGAATTGGAAGTTTCTCTCAAGTTAGTTTCTTCTAAATTATCAGGGAGTAAATCGAGCATATGAAGCCCAATTATCATATCATTTATCCATATCATTATTTCATTACAAAACACTGCAGTTGTGCGATCAAAATGAAATTGAATTCCCTCACATTTCAAAACTTTTTGAACCTCAAAATTGTTGTTATTCGATTAATCCTTTTTTTTTTAAATCAAGCGAAATGATGATAAATCGAAATTGGAAAACAAACACAGTCTTTCTGATTTATTCAGCATCACCTACATAAATATATTAGAATTATTAAAAATTGAAATGGTTAACATAAAGTTATGAAATCCCTTTTTTGTGTTTTCTCCTGAATTTTCAAGCATGACAGGATAAGAATGTACACGAAGTTAACTCAAGTCCTCCAGCTACACCGCCAGAGCTTCATCCCTTTACAATCCTCCTCTGACGTGTTTTAAAAAAATCTCAAAATCAGATATTTTAAGAAAGAGTTTGATGTCATTATTTCAAATTTGATCGTTTCCCCTGCATTTTCTTGCTTCGAAATTCCGCACTGGATATTCATAATGGATTGTTCGGCCAGAAAGTATAAACTTTCACCCAATGAACTTACTATTTAACAAACAGTTGGTGGAAAATGTCTGAGTCCTCATTTTTAATAAAAAAAAAAAGTCGTAACTCATCAAGTATTTCGTTAACTCGACCTCTGAGACTGCTGTTTATTTCGATGCTCGTAGTTGACGAGCCTCTGGCCAACAAGATACTTGTCATTCTTAATATGCTCATACAATTTTCTAAACTGTCGAATATGAAAAGTTATCAATACACAAACCGATATGATAAGTAATAAAAATGGATAAAGTCGCCGTGCAATCAGTATCTGTGTCTGTAAATTCGTGACAAATAGTGGTATAATACCATAAGCAATGGCATAAGGAATAGCAAGTGCAAGGCCAAAAACACAGATAACAGGTGCTGCTAATTCCGTGATGACAAATTTGAGATCCATCTCTCTGACACCATCGTTATACGCTTTCTCAATAGCTGTACGGAGTTTCCACTCGGGTCCCATCATTGTGATGGCAGTTGCTATTTTTGTGTATAAAACACCAAGTGCCCAATCCTGCCAGATGAATAGTATCGGATTTTGCTCAAGTGGAACACGAAGGGGTACTACCACAACTAGCTCGAGGAGGAGGCCGAATAACAGTGGAATAACACCGACTAGAAGAATGAAAGCTATTGATGCACGCACACTGACGATTGCCCAGTGTTTTATTCTATCGATAATTGCACGACGTCCGCGGGGTAGCCAGGAGAAGGCGAGGGCAAGGCCACGCGCCGCTGCCCAACACACGTAGGTGCCACAGGCTACTGTGTAGATTTCGTGAACACGTCCTGAAAACACTACCATTGTATCGCCAACACCTGGAAAAGAATTTATTTTTAATTTTTTTATTTCATCATTACAGCTAGTAATAAAATTCCAAATGATTGGGCTGTTGCATGAAATTTGTTCATTGAATAGAATTATGAAATACGAAAATTGTAGGAAAAATAGTAGATGCGTATTTATTTTCATTTTGAAAAATTACGAAAAACTGAGGAATTACAGCAAAAGCAATATTAGTGGCGATCCCAGCCCTCATATCGTGAAAAATTGCGTCGCCAGAGAAGATCAAGTGAACTATTTAACATTGGTTTTAATGGAGTTGCGGAGTTACTCATTTATGAAAAATAAAGAAATACGTGGATAATATTTTGAATCTAATTTTCATATCCAGCAATAAGCACGTTTCATGCAAAACTTACTCATGGTAAAGCACAAATTTAAAATAATTATTTCACTTTTATGATTTCAGCCAAGTAAATACTAGTCTTTAACACTTGGGTGTGAAATCTGCATAAAATAAATATTAGTGATTTCATGCTGTCAGAGTGAAAAATGAGGTAGGGTGGTCTGTTTTATTCAACTCAAACAACTCAACATCAAAACATGAATATTCAGTGACAAATTACGCAGAATTTTCAATTAATTGAAAAGTTATATATTTACTTGAATTTTGATAATTTCTATCAGTTTTCAATGAATGATTGAATTGAATTGATAGTTTTTATTAATTTTTCCATAAAATCCTGAAGTTTTAATGACAAAATTCTTTGAAATTTTAGTCGAACTACGGTGAATAGACCAATTGTTGGATGGTTAAGGGAAAGTCGAGTTTCGTGGTACGATGTAAATTAAAAGAATCACCTAAATGGGGACATGATGGGTTTCTTCATACCTTCAAAAATGTTTCAATTATCAGAAAAAAATTATTGAATGTGAAAATAACAAAACAAACAGTGACTAAATTAAAAAATAGTTGAATGCAGTCAAAACCCCTAATGTCTGGAATGATCACAAGATTACACACGAGTAATATTATCGAAAGGTGAAATAATCAGTACAATTTTCATTTTATTTATGGAATATTCAATGCAAGTTGAAATCGTCCAACCTCCGTCCAGAAATTGACGTGTTTATTACCCTATATGCGATGAAAAATGTCTGAAGAGTACCAGAAATAGCAGCCAAAAATCAATAAAAATGTGATCTACTCACTGTTAACTGGCACTACAGGTGGTAATACCGGTGGTGATGGTGCAGGAGCTCCCACCATCCACAAAGCCATGACCCTCCTTCCCAACCAAACAGGTAATGTCATGGCAATGAGACTGGCAATGACCAATGAGGCGCAGACACAGAGCAGCAGTCCAACCAGTCTCGCTGGGAACCATCTGGATCTTGTATACGGTTGATACCCTGGGGGGCCACCCCTGTGTCTCATCTGAGCAGCCGCCTGGTGCGCAGCTCCCAGATCATGCTGTGGCTCCTCGATTACAGCGTTGTCCTGATCCTCTCGCTGGTCTCTCAGGAGGTACGATTGGAGGTCCAGCATCCAGGCCACTGCCTGACACCAGCCACGAATGATCGCCTTGAGCCATGTTCGAGTGTGAGACTGCTCCAGCAAAGCTGGGAGGATCACTTGAAGGAGGAGTAACTCCAACGATAGCTCACTCACCTAAAATTTAATATCAATTAATGATTAGATATCACAATTGAATTATGGAGATTCCTGTGGGCTTCCGAAGTCACAGACCTTTTTATTGGGAGTTTTCATATGATCATTCATTCGATGCATACAAATTGCGAGAAATAATGAGGAGAATTATTGATTTTTACTGTTTTTGTAAGTTGAAAAACGGAAATTATATAAAAATGGGCATTTTAGAAAGATTTCTCCTACAATTTATCAAAAATAGATTACGAGCTGCATTTCAAATGCTCTGTCCGTTTATGTTGAAACAAAGTGATATCTTAATTGTTAATATCTTGAGGAAATTTCCACAGGCCTCAAGAACAATCGGAAAAAGAATAAATGCAGCCCCCTAAATCTACTTGTTTATTACACTCCATTCTAGCTCCCGAAAAATATACTATGTTTCAGATGATACTACTATTTTTCCGGAAGGTTCTAGTAGCATAAATTATTCCCTCGGGTAATAAATTATTCAGAAATAAGTAAGTTCCCAATGTAGTAAAAAATCAATAGCTTTCCACATCATACCTAAAAATATTCTAATGTTTACTCTCATTTTGAAAACCATGTCATTTTGTTATCTGCTTTTCTCGTGAACAGGCTTCCCTTCCTATAAACTCTGTGCAATTCATATTATTGTCTAAATTGTCGACGGGATAGCCTTCAAAATGCAATATCAATTAAATGTTCTCAAGATAGGAATTCTTAGATCAAGAATTGGTTACACCGTGTGATGTTTTTTGTTCGATCTTATGCTTTTGGATTCTAAAGAGCAATAAAAAATTTAGTTACCCCTCCCCCCTATTTCTCATTCTTCGCTTACGCAGAACGAATACAGTAGCGAAGCAGTAAAACGATTTAAGTCGATTTAGCCCTTAGCTGAGTTTTCGAGGAATATCTCCGAACCTAAGAGAGACAACGAAATTTTTGTACTAACTTTTGTACACCGAATTGAAGGCCATGAAAAGGTCATGACAAAGATTTTGCTATCTCCCTTAGATTTCGAGATATTCGTTGAAAACTGCCAAATAGTCAAGATCGACTTAAACAGTTTTACCGTTTCGCTACTGAATAAGAAGCATTGAAAAATTCCAAAATTGAGAGCCTTTGACTTCGAAGATTCACAGGCGACTCACCTTAAAAGAATATTTCATATTCGGCGTAATTACCTGAGCCTCAGTCTGGACAGTGACAGTGTACGGTAGAAATCCGGGCCATGCCCACCTGAGAATTCTCACCGGTAGCCAGAGCATGAGTAAAATTGCAGTACCAAAAATAACAGCTGAAGCAACGAGTCTCCTGGCGTGCCTCAAAATCGGAAGATGAATCATCTCTTGTATGGGTGAAAAATCAGGATCATTGAGATTCCTGAGGAACCAGAGGACTCCGGGTCTGAGGACCTCCCTCAGTAGCAAAATGAACGATGCAAAGTAGTAAATGTAAACCATGCCCACCAGCCAGTGGATGAACATACAGGTCCCAGGTGCAATTCTGAATGAGGACTCTCTGTCCTTGAGAGTGGCATCAAACATGGCCAACGAACAGATGTCGAGCCACCACCCACAGACAAGTGGTAGAACGCCAATCTCCACGACAGACAGCAGTGACACTTTCACCACGACATAGCAGAGCCCCAGAATCCTCTGAGACCGTTGGAAGCCAAAGAGTGCAGCGAGTGTATGAAGTACAACAAGAGTCCCTCCAATAACCCCATACCCACACAGAGTGGTGACGAGGCCCTCAAAGTGTGAAGCAGCAGCGTGTTCTTGTAATCCAAGTCCAATGATAGTAAAATGCCCAATGTTGTATGGACAGAAAGCAAACACCAGGATAAACAGAGTATTCAGGGAGATGACCCAGAAAACATGCTCGAGGAAGAGGAGAGAGCCATCGAGCCCCAGGAGTCTCTCCCAGGTGAGCTCCTCAGCAGGTCTGTCCCACTCCATGGGATTCCAGTTAGCTTCTTCAGCTTCTCCACCAGCTTGAACTTGATCCTGCCCCTGTGCTCTCCAGCCATCAGCAGGCTCCTCCTGAGCGGCTGGCTCCTCCCTCTGTCCCTCTTCCTCATTGATGTTGTCAAGCCCAGGATTGTCAGGATTATTGTCACCAATCTCTCTGTACAAGGGGTGATTCTCCTCGTTGTCCTGCCTGGGAGGTTCGTCTACGAATGGGGGAATGTTGTTATTCTCCCTGACATTTGCCCCTCCGAAGGGCTGGGGCACCTCTAGCAGTTCAGCCTCCTCGAGCTGGGGTGCCTCAGGGTGATTAACATCGGCTGGAAGGAGAGGGGCGTCTCGCTCCAGCCAGTCTGGACCACCAGCATGAAGGATCTGCTCTCTCAACCAGACCAGGCCGATAAAGGCGAATAGAGTACAAGTTACTACGAAGCAACCGTGAAACACGTCTGAGGAGATGTTCTCTGTTGATATCATGTCCATTGGAAGAGACATTATTTTAACGAGGTCGAGGGACCCACTGAAGAGAGCCCGATACGTTCGACAGGCTGTCAGAGGAACCAGGCCCAACCAGGCGAGGGCCACTAGGGTGTAGTGCAACCAGTACTTGACTGCTGTTACGATACTGGAGACGAGACCACCCACAACGTCCCTGATTGGGAGACGACGGGGCATGTCTGGACTGTAGATCGGAGTGAAGGAGAACCTGTGCCCACAGAGCTCGCAGTATTCCTTTCGGGAGTATCTCATCCACTGGACGAGGCACTCCTGGTGAATCCATTTTATGCTCCCTGTGCATATGCAGGGGTGGAAGAGGGGACGGTCTGCCAGACCCTCCGATCTACACACCCTGCAGATGTCTGCTAACATGTCCTCCGTCATGTTGATGGGTTTGGGATTTTCTTTTCGATTAAACCGCTTTAATTATTCGCGTTAAACTCCGGGGAAGTTGACGTAATCTAGAGAAATTGAATTTTTCTTCTTTAATTGGATTTTTCAAGTCGTTACGATTGTTCGCTGTCAGTTAATTATGCTGGATTATTTTCTGACGGAGAATGTAAGGGACGTTTTTTTATCGTTCATGACATTGAAACATTTTGCGGAAATTCAACGGTAATTTGATTACTCCACGTAGTGCAATTTTTTGTGGTGCTTGATCAAGAAAACTGTGCAGGATTTGATGGGGAATTGATGTGAGTTATTTGGAGGAGAATGATCAGGCGTTTAAGGAAATAAAATTCGCATGTGACCTTCTGACATCAGAATTATAAATCGAAAGACACGAACTAGGTTATACTTGCGAGAAAAACATTGAGACGTACTAGATTTTTGTTGTTCGAGAATTGTGGGCTAGTTTCATGCATGATGCCATTTATGATGGAATTAATGTTTCAGGTATTTTGAGGATTATTGCACTTACCGAATCGTTTTATTAGTAAAAATACGTGGGATCTAAAACTGAAAAATTGGTCGAAAAAATATTATAAGTGTACTTCCAGCTGTTTCTGTGGTGCTTAGGGGGCAAATGTCCAAACATGGCAATCGAATTTTTAAAAATCCCTAGGAAATGGTTATTTTCAGGGACTCGTGGTGGTAACACTGATCTTATTTTTCAGTCATTCGAAAACGTGTTCCAAATGGAAAATCGAGATTATCGACCTAAATTTATAAAAAATAATATGAAATTCCTCTTTTGAAATTGATTTACCTATTCTTCAGTGAAAACAAAATCCCGTAAATTCTCTTTCCGTGACAGAAAGTGTTTGTTCCGAATTTTCTACCATAAAAATAGGAAAAAATCATTTAAAGGTTAGAAACAAATTATTATCAATATCCGAACAGAAACAAACGAGCTAGCTTCATGCGTCAATGACATAAAATGAACATTTTCTCATAAAAAAAAAAAATTGTTAATCATCGAATTGATTGACATCTTGAACTAAAAATGGGGAGGAGCTCGAATAATGATGATGGTATGACGGTTGATTCGAAGAGCGAGAAAAAATCAAAAAAGAAAAAGACAAAATCAGTGGCGGATGAGAATGCCGGGGAATTAGTTAGTAAACCAGAAGTGAAGGTGAAGAAATCGAAGAGGAAAAAGTCAGAGGCATCTGAAGCTGTAGAAGAGGACGTGCCCAAGAAGGCTAAGAAGGCAAAAAAGTTCGTATCAATTTAATTAATCAAAAACAACCCTTTCGAATTAAGGGGAGATTACTATGAGTTGTAAAAGTCGCGGGCTATTGGAATGAGGTTTCTCATACATTGAAGATGGATTATATATGTCTAAAAACGAATAATTAGTGCAAAAAAATCATTTCTTTATTGTTTATTTGCCCCGTTGATGCTTAAAATGTTAAAAGAAGTCCAGGGCCTCCAATTTTTGTAGCTACAGAGGTTTTCTTCCAAATTTTTGCAAAAATCTGTGCCATAACAATTATGAATTATTTCTTCAAAATTCAATTCCTACGCAGCTAATTTTGTTCTTTTTTTAATAAAAAATTGCACCAGAAAAATGTTTCCGAAACGATCGAGAATATATTTTAAATATTTTAAGGATAATTTTCCTGCCTATTTTACATGAATGGCGCAAATTTGTATATTAAATAAAACGAAATTCGTAATTGTTATTGTACACATTTTTTCAAAAATAAAAAAACTTTGTAGTTCAAAAAGTGGAGGCCCTCGACTATTTTCAACATTTTAAGCGTCTGCAGGGCAAACGAACAATAAACAATTTTTTTTTGCACTCATTTTTCTTTTTCAGACATATAATCGATATTCAATGCATAAGAAATCTCACTTCAATAGCCCGCGACTTTTAAAACTCATAGTAGTCCCTTAACTTCCTTATATGGTTAGCGGCTATCAATTAATTCATGTAATTTATCCTACTTCATCCATTCTTAGAGAAAAACTGGATGACACAGAGAAGGCAGATAAAGAGGTTGATGAAGAGGTCGAGGGGGATGCACCTCCTAAGAGTAAGAAACCTTCGAAGAGGCAGTTGAAAAGAGAGAAGAAAGAAGCAAGGGAAGCAGAGAAGCGAGATGCCAGTAAAGTTGAAGCTATGAACAAATCTCTCGAGTATATTTCAACGGTAAGAAAAAACAATCATTGATAATTATTGAATTAATACATTGGAGAAGTTGATTGAGAGGAAAATGCAGATAATTCTGTGAATATCTTAGGAAGGAAATTTCTAGCAAGTGACAGTTTCACTTGAATTTCAAGAAATTTACACCAAAATTATTCCAAACATTTCCTTAGTCATTAAAGGTCATAACAGCAATTTTAATTAGAATTGAAAAAGGAAAGAATCGAGAGAAAAAAACAATTCTTCCACTATTTGCCAACGTTAGAAAATGTCAAGAAATTTCGTTATTGAAAATTCACAATTTGATGAAGAAATCAATAGCAACTGTAATTTTCAGTTCAATTATTTCATGGAAATTAGTAAAAATGAATATATTTTTGAATTTTCAATTAATTAAAAATTATCGTTTTCCTGCTGCTTAAAAATGAGGAATTTCATTAACTTTACAGTGTACTTTGAAATTACTTTTTTTTCCAAATCGAATTTAATATCGCTCTCCCAAAAATTACTACTAAACTGTAAATAAAATTACATTTTTTTTGGTAACAGTGGAGTTAAAGAAATGTTCGCAAAATAATCACTCCAAAATCACCACTAAAATATTCTGAATTTGTTCACAGTGGAAACATGCAAAGAGTAAATGGAAATTCGAAAAGCTCAAGCAAATCTGGCTGATGGATCACTTACTAGACGACTCGTTAGTCCCAGAGGAAGTATTCCCCACTGTACTGGAATACTTCGAAGGTTGCAAAGGAATGGCTCGAGAATTGCTCCTAAAGAAAGGTATGGACGTCATAAAAAAATACGAACGACAGCAGGAGGCCGCTGAAGAAGTCGAAGAGACTGTGGAGTACAAAAGAGCCAGGCAATTGCTTCAAGCTTTACCAACAGAAACTTGAATAGTCTCAAATCCAAAATATTTTATTTAATAAAAATTTCCAAGTTTTCATATTTTAAATCTTTTTTGTATATTCACCTCTCATGAAATATCCCAACGATTAATTTACAACGAGAAATCTTCTGGATATAAAGGGACTATGTAAATGGTTCTGTACAACGAAATAAATTGCTGTTTGAAAATGTTTTTTGGCTATTTAGATCGTACTATATTGTGAGTAACTTAATAACTATGAGTCTGCATATTTATCGACGAATTTTCGTAGTTTGTCTGTGTCCTGGAGGCCTACCATACGTTCGAGAACCTTCCCATCCTTCATTGCAATGAGAACTGGTACTGACTCGACCTGGAAATCATTATGACAGTAAATAATCGACATACCTCAACACCAACATAGTATTTACACTACAAATATAATGTAAAGTCAAGGGGAGACTATTATGAGTTTTAAAAGTCGTGGGCTGTTGGAGTGCGATTTCTCATGCATTGAAGATCGATTATATATATTTAAAAACAAATAATTAGTGCAAAAAAATTATTTGTTTATTGTTCTTTTGCCCCGCAGACGCTAAGAATATTGAAAATAGTCCAGGGCCTCCAATTTTTGAGCTACAGTTTTTTTTTCAAAACTTGAAAAAATGGGCTATAATAACAATTACGAATTTTCTTTTAATTCGACTCCTACACAGCTAATTTCCTTTTATTTAATATGAAAATTTGCGCCATTCATGTGAAATAGACAGAAAAATTATCCTTACAATATTAAAAAAATATCCTCGATTCTTTCAGAAACATTTTTCGGGTTATTTTACATGAATGATGCAATTTTTTATTAAAAAAATAGCAAAATTAGCTGTGTAGAAGTTGCATTTCCAAAAACTAATTCGTAATTGTTATAATTTTGAAAAAAAGCCTCTGTAGCTCAACAATTGGAGGCCCTGGTCTGTTTTAAACATTCTAAGCGTTTGCGGGGTAAACGAACAATAAACAATTATTGTTTTGGCACTAATGGTTCAATGTATGAGGAATCTCCTTCAAATAACTCGCGACTTTTAAACATCATAGTAGTCTTCCCTTAATAAACATTTTAATCAATTAATCAATCAATTTACCTGATAATCAAGAGCAAGATCTGTGTTCTCATCAATGTCAACTTTAGCCAACAGAATTTTCCCCTGCTTTTCCTCAATAACAGACTCCAAGCGCGGCGTTAACATACGACAAGGATTGCACCACCTAAAAAACAATTAACGTAATCACCGACATCAATAATGCAACTCATCTCAACACCCCATAAAAGTGGAATACTCCCTATAATCGAAAATAATGAAGTTATGAAATTGTCAAATGACTAGTAATCCATCCACAATTTCTTACGTTGCAAAAAAGTCGATGATAACGGGCACCTTGGAGTTTTTAACTCTCTCATTAAAATCTTTATTGTCCTGAACTTTGAATGCCGGTGAGGCAGCTGCACTGGCAAACCCCCTGGCCTCCAGACCAGCACGGATTACTTTCGCTCCAACACGTAGCATTATGTGTCAGTAATAGCCCAAACTATCTCGACTTTGCAAAAATTCAGTGCACAATTTCCCTCGTAAGAATTACAATTTGATACGAGGCGATAGGTTATCGTGTGATTCTACGCAACACAGCACACTTTTTTCGAAATAAACAATGCCATCTATCCCTGAGACAACAGCAACAGATGGATATTCTCGGGATTGTTATCATAACACAGCAATGCCATCAGTTGTTGGTATCGTACCAGCTGTAGTTATGTGCAAATTCAAATCAAAATCGGAGAGTTAGATTTTTTTATTTAAATGACATAAATTTAATTTGAATCAAGTACCTGGGTCGACTCAAATAATTTATAATAAATACTCTATTCAAACTTGAACTTGATTTCATTTGCATTTTTATTGACATCAAATATAAACAACAATTTCCTTGCACCAAATGACGACAATCACTTAGAGATAAAATTGCAATGGAGAAATTCAATTCAATTTATTCTCTTTGACGTTACAAAAGCATTCTTTGTTTTACATCCACACTGGCCTCTCTTCTCCTCCACCTGTCAGCAATATTATCCTATTTCATTTTATTTCAACTTAATTTCATATAATCTAATATAATATAATCCACAAATTTGATTTTGGACTATTAGGGAAGGGTGGGGTAAAATGGATACTTTTCACTTTTTTAAAAATATTCATAACTCATAAATATATTTATCAATTGAGCTCAGTCTAGGCTCATCACAAGGGGGAAGAATTGCCCTTTGTATTAAAAACAAATGATACAATTTCATTAGCAATTCAACAAGTCATTAAAAATTGAAAAAAAATAAAAAATGTCCATTTTACCCCATCGTTCCCTATCATATTTTGCAACTAGTATTATTCAGTCTTTATTGAGAAATCCATTGACATGTAATAATCAATTCCATATGAGAGCATTTTCATTATAAAAAATACATGGACTTATAAATTTCCACCAAAAAACTTGAAATGAATGGCAGAAAAAAAAATCAAATAAAACCTTTTATTTGACTGAAATGCATCATTCCCCTGGCTGTACGTAATGCTCGTATGTGTGACGTCTATGCAATTCGCCTACACATGAACAATTTCGAATGTGAATTCCATCGCGTGTTGAAAACCGACCCCTCCCGTTATGGCCGGCGGAAACACGCGCACACGCCACCAGCCAGTGCTGCCTGTGTTTGGATATATTGCAGCATCCGTATCAGCCGTCCGCCTCCACCACCTCCGCCGCCGTTGCCGTCGTATACGAGGGGAACGTGGGTAAGTACCCTCACTCCAATGCCACCCATTCAGTCTGCACTCGCATGTCCACGAGGTAGCTCACCGGGCCTGGCGGCTTCCTCTTGCCTATTTCAACACTGGGTTAAAATCATCTCTTCCCCACTTCCACTTCTGTCTCTATCCACCAGTCCCTCCCCAATTGATACACAACCAAGTCCACCCATACACTGACAACACCTGGGTTCAGCCTTCTCCTCTTTCTCAGTTTGTCTCTCGACACCGAGGCACAACGGTTGTCATCAGCTGCTGATATAAACATTTCATTCATTGTTGAGGTGTTAGCCACTTCATGTATACAATAAGGGGTTGAGGTTAGGTCCACTGTGTTCGCGGGATTTATCTTCGAATTTTAAAAGCCATCAACCCCGTCTCGATGAGCCAAAGCTACTTATTTTAAATAAAAAAACTACTGCGTGATTTATCATCGATTTATAGGGCCTATAATTCAACAATGGCTCGATCATTGTTGATCATCGCTTGTTTTTAAAAAGAACAATTTGAATTGTGTTGATTGTTGTGCCGGTCTAAACGTGCGTGGTGAGAGTGCTCTACTCGCGTGACAGTCAAAGCAGGTTAGGTCCTTTGCTCGGTTTGCGCGGGTATTTTAAATAAAAAGTAGTAGAGATGAATTGTTCGAGTGAGGTGAATTGAGGATACTTCATTGAATGAAGTACAGAGCGGTGGTAGCAGCGGCTCGATAATTGTCTCGAGTCAATAAGTGAAGATTGATCTCCGAATTGAGGGAGTGGAGGAGAGAAGAGCCACAGCCATGTGGAAAGACAGCGGCCCCACTGTAAATATTTGTTATTCATTAATATCTTGTTTCAATATCGAATGTTCGTGGGGATAAATTGGTGGATTATTATCGGGTAATATCTGTCGTATGTTAACGGGTTGAATCAGTGTAATTACGTGATGATAGCGGGTTGTTTAATAGTTTGATAGGTGAAGTCATGAAAGAATGGGGTTTTGCATACAGTTGGAAAGGCGGCGGGGGGGTAAAAATCAACAATCGATTAATAATGACTCGTTGGATGATTGATGAGCTTTTACGGGTGGGAGATGGGGGTGGGTGAGAATTAACGCACAAGGAGGCAATATGATTTTGAGTAACCAAATGACAATTATGCCCAAAACCACAGTTATATAATCCACGTGTACACACATTTTGGTGGGGTATAGACGAAACGTCGAAATGTAATATAAAACCAATTTGATTTTGATTTCGTACTGTAATACATTTGGATGCCCATCGTGCCGCACGATGCGGATGCCGTGACCATTGCGGTTACGCGTTTGTCCACGCAATTTGGTTTCGCGTGGCTGGTTAATGCCAAACGTGTGCGATCGATCGGCTTTGAAATTTCACAGTTGCTCATACCATTTGGAAGTTTCCCTTCCTCTCTGTGTCCTTTGTGCGTTAACACTCGATTTGACTCGTTATCATCGTTGAACAACTTTCTACTTTTAATTGATTCGGTGTCTCTATGCTGCCGAGGAGGGTAGGGGGAGGGTTCTATTCGTTTGGTTTGATGGAGAGATTGATAGTTTTGAAACTGAGAGAGATGGAAAAAAGGTGAACTGACAAACAGAGGAATTCGCCCGGTCTGTTTTAGATGGATAATTCGACATACGTGCCGAATCACCTACAACCACCGTCCCTGGTAGTATTTTCACAGGCCGGGGGTCTCCCCGACGCCTTGAGAATGCAGCGACCCTTCAATCCACAAGTTAGTTTTAATGTTCTCCCCGATTGATGAAACCTCCACCGCTGCTTTGCATGAAAAACCATCCTTCAATAAGAAATGAAAGTTTTAGTTTTGCAGAGAACTATCACTCATTTCCAATGATATTTGACACTACATCCAAAATCCCTTAGAATAAAGAATTTTTCCCTGAAAAAAATAGCACCAAAATTTCTAGAATTGAGTGACATTTACCCGAAATAAGTAATAGTATCTGAAAATGTAAAATTTTTTCTCTCTGTATGCATTAATTTTCATCCCTACAAAAAAAAAGTGATTGACAAAAAAGGGATGGGCAATCGTGCTTTGAAATTGACAATTTTTGCTTTCAATAACCGAGTTATTTGCTTTTTGTTGGTTGTCATCTAGTAAAAAACTCGTTTCCTGTACAATTCCATTAAACTTGTAACAGAGCAATTCAATTCGAAAGATAAAACGGCGGAAAAATAAAATGGAATTAAAAAATCCACATTTGCAGGCGTATTAACCAAGAATAATGATGCAAAAAGATGATTAACACCGCCCACACTGCATGCATTTTTTTCCCCCGGAATGTGAACACGGATTCATTGGCGCTATAATTTTATGCAAAAGGTGACGGATTCGAAAGATCTTCACGTACCATTCAGCACAGCGGCGTCGCTTGGCTACGGCCTCCATCACATGCTGCATCTGCCGCATCAATTTCTCCATCCCCTAGACCCACGTTTGCCATTCGGTGCATTCAGACCACTGGGTCCATCGGCATTTGCACCACCGAGCAAGTGTTTAAAAGTCGAAACTGGAAACGCAAGTGTGTCATCGGGACTCGCTAGTATTAGTTCATTGTCGGGAATGTCGAATATGTTTTCGCCGTCACTACCGTCGTCGGGTGGTGTGGCTGGTGGTCTGTCTGCTCCTGGTCAAGATACCGCACCACAGAGCCCAGCGGGTTCAGCGAGTCGTTCGCCCCTTGGCAATGCACCCGGTTCAACTACCGCATCTAACCGAGGACCAAGTCCTGACGAGGAGGATCGCGATGCCAATGCAACGCCCGGATCCGAAAACACAGAGCGGTCAACGCCCGAGGAAGGACGACCCTACAGACGTAAGTAGAAACACATCTCCAAAATAAACGATTTCATAGTCGCAAATGCCGGCAACTCGGTGGAGTAGGAAAAAGGCCAACATTTTTCAATGTTAAAAATCATTTAACATTTTCGTTTTTCAACACCTTAATTGCCGAACGATGGAGCCCATTCATTTGTAGGATCACCTTTGCGGCGTTGCCATTCGTGTGGTTTCGCGACCACACTCTTGCGACTCACAGATTTTTTTCACGATCCTACTCATATTTTCGGGGAAAATGCGGCTAATTTTGGTTTAATTGGTCTGCAGTTGGAAAGAATGGTTTCAGCGGAGATATTAATATTATCGGGGAGAAAAAATTCAGGAGAAATTACGTGGAACTTGTGTATAATCGTGGAATGGAATACTCATTTCGGGAATTTTTGCGGAAATTTGGAAAAAACTGTGAGGCAAAAGATGAATTTGCATTTTAATTCCGGAAATTTTATTGGATTGATACGTAATTTCTAATTACAATTTTGCACTGAAGGAGTGATATTCGTGAGATTTTGCGGAGGGAGTATGTTAAGAAGGGTAAATTTTCCGTGTTATTCTCGGTAAACCTCGGATTTTACCTTAGTGTGTTCGGTAATTTTTGCGATCAACCTAGGATGCATGTAAACATAGGAAGGACGCGAGCGAGACGAATAAAAATTGCGTTTTTTCGCAATTTTTTCGTGCTACGAAATCTGAATTTTTACAGATATTTGTGGAAAATTTTCGCTGAAACCAATAATTTTCATGAAAACAATATCATATATCAGGATTACGTTTTCGAACGTAATTTTTACGTTTTTGTATCCGAATGGAGGCCTCGTAATCGTTCCAATTTCTAGTTTCCAATTTTTTGTGTTTGAGTAACTAAATATGGTCTAAAAATTGTATGTATGTGGTCCTTTTTCTTCATTTTTGTCTCGAAATTTTCTTATAAAAGATCAATCGAATGTCATGAATTTTTTCGTGAATATAGACTTTAATAAGCTATTCATTGACACCAATTAAAATTTAATTTTTCATACAGATTCGGAAAAATTGATATTTGTTAAAAAATAGATTTTCCAACAATCACTCGAAAAATTATCATCAAAATGGAATTAATCATGGCTCAAAAAATGAATAACAATACCCTCTTGATTCTATCAGAATATGATGGGGGTCGCACAATTCGTTGTTGAGTTATAGCACATTTATAACACGTTTATGCGATTTGAAAGAGAAAATCGGGTTTGTCATAATTACTGAAATAATCATCAGTACATAGCAATTAAATCAGGGCTTGAAACGTATATTTCAATGTCTTCTTAATCGAGTTGAAAAATCGTGAGGACAGCATCATTGCTTATAAAGTTACGCAATGCCGTCATCAGCCTTTTACATCAAAAAATCTCTAGCTCTATTAAACTCAGATACTAGTCTATTATGTTGAATACTTATTCATATTTATTCATTGTCTCGACTAATCTCTGACAGAACCTGGGTTAAACTCTGGCTAAATTCCGAATAAATCCCGATTTAATCCCGGCTATACACTGATCGAGGTTTACCTCGATTGAACCTTGATTAACCCTGGACTGAAAACGACTTCGAGTCTTAACAGGGCCTGAATATAGAATTATTTGACAGAGCGAAATACTACGCAAAATTTTGATGACATTTCAATTAATGCTAGTACTATGGCATGAAAACAATAGAAGAAGAGAGTAGTGAAATAAGGATTTCAAATAAGAAAACCCATTCGGTAGCAAATTACTAATTTAATAGCAACAATTACGGTACTCATTAAAAAATGCCATTGTCCACTTGTTTCCATAAGACTTTTTCGAAAACTTTTTTCTCCGTGAATGGTTCGGGTATTCAGACTTTAGAGTACCGCACAGAGAGAAATATTCAATAAAAATTACGTATCTTTTCCGTAATTCTGGAGCGCAATGTGGTTGTAGGAATAAAAATCGCGGAATTTGTCCAGAGCGTTCCGTAATTTTTACCTGAATCTCCCGTAAAAAATTACGATACCGTCACTTAAATTTTCTGAGTCGGTTCCGTAATCGGTGAGGGAACTGTGAGTTCGGTAATTTTTCCTGATCATTTCTCTCTAAACATTTTCGTTTAGCTCCAAAGTTCAGTCCAATTTGGGGGATTAAAATTAGGAGAATAAAAGGAAAGTGGATTATCCATTTGGACTGGATTATAAGCAATACATTAGCGAGTTGGCAGTTGGCAGAACGGATCGTAGTTGTCGACGAGATGCGCACACACGTATACGTGAGGCTTTGGCGATTGTTGAAGGGGGATGGAGGGGGTAGTTTGGGTAACGTTTTGAAATGGGGTGACTGAGGGTGGGTTGGTCGAGAGGGTTTTGTGGTGGTTGGGTGTACAGAACGATATACTCACCAATATTTCAAGCTCCGCGGTGAAACGGACGTAATATGATGTCGAAATGAAACGTGTCGAGCGAAACCAGTCGATACCTATACCCGCAGCGATGAACGAGAGAGGTGCAGTTGGACAGGAGTCGCGTGGGTTTTGAATACAACGTTGGGCCATTTTAGTTCCACAGTTTACGCAGTGATTGCATACATGTAAACGTGTGTGTGTGTATCCACGGAAGCGCTGATATTTGTCAGAGAATTGATAACGCGAATAAACCCCACTTTTGTTCTCTTCCACTTTCATTCCCTTTCTATTTTTCCTCTAATTCTACGAATCAGACAAAGCATCCGGAAATTATTGCCTCCAATCGAGGGGTATTTTATCCTCCTCTATTACACACTTTTCGTTCTGTTTATGCTCATGTAATTTTACTTTCGACAGACATTGAGCTCATTATTAAAATAAACCTCAGAATGCATGGTCACGTCAACGTCTGTATCTAGCCGTAGTCACGTTGATTAACCAACTGTCATGGCTGTCAGGGATTTTCGCATCCCTTGCAGCAGTCCGGATGATTCAAATTGTATTACCACTATATCCAACAATCATTCTGGAATTATATCACTGCGGTGAGTCCAAAATTTCCGTTGAGCCACATATCCACTGAATCATGAATTTCGTGTCAAGTTTTCTCTGACTGACAACTTTCTTTATCCGATCAATTTGGAACTCCTCTCTTTAAAATGTGAAATGATTCATCGCATACTGCTTGATGGGAATGAACATATCATCACAGACTGAATTCCTCTTTTTTTTTCAATGCCGATGCGACGGCTGTTTTGCAAACAATGGAGAGCAGAAGTGACATGTCAAACGATAATTACCCCCGAAGAAAAAACATTTTCAACACTTTTTTAATTGCCTCCTGCAACGCTCTGTGCTCGTTATGTACCGTCGCCTTTACCGCGTCAAAGTGAAAAAGAATGCTCCTTTTTTTTGGGTGTCGACGTGGCGCGAAGGCGAGTTGTCAAAAAAAGAGGAAACAGCCACTTTCAGGGGGTCACAAACTCGACGTGTGCCTCAACGGTCGGCCGTGGTGGGGGGCGGGGGGAGGGGGGGGCGAGGAATGACCAATTTGATTATCAAATAATTTCGTAGAACGTAATGGCAAATCGAGGACAGCCCTGCGCCAACGTATATCGCCCTAAGAATATAAATGAGGCTAAGTGCTTTTCTACTGCATGACAGAATACCACGTTTCAGAATATACACGCGTACGTGCGTCCAGCCACCGCCAATTTTCCTCCCCGGTCATCTCTAACCTCCCCCTTTTCCCCCACTTTTCTCCCCTGAAGTGACGTCCACAATATTGATCTCAAATTCCTGAAATCGATGGTCATTCTTCATACCGCCCACTGCAAATCCATGCCATCAGTGGATTTGAAAATGATGTATTTAGATGAGTTTCGTTTTGTTGGTGTTCGCATTTGTTCTGCATCCCCTTCCCTGGAGCGTGTCGTTTGGCATTTTTCTCCCTAAACCCAGTATTTCATTTTTTTTTTTCTACCGATGTTGTTTCTCGCTCTGTTGGTGAAATGTAACACGAGACTCATTATGACGATGAAACGTTAACGAGCCGACGTTCGAATTACCAGCATCACAAACGGAAATTATTGAATTACACGTGTGTGTTCACATTAACATTTCTTTTTTGATACTCTGGTAAATTCATATCCACATTATATTCCACAAACGATCTCCCTTTCAATATTTACTCATTCAATCCTCAAATATTGATAGTGGGTTTTATATTTAGAGATATTTCAATGCAAAATCAAGTCGGACACTTGGATTTTCCGCGCAAGGTTAAAAACAAGTTTGCGTCGGGTGCTCCTCCTATCGTTTCTCGTGACTCTGAGGACTTTTGAGTAGCAACTGAGGGCGGAGCAGCGCTGGCGCGTTGCATGTACGAACATCGTCTTGAAAGTACATTTCAACCCCTTTCCCCCTGCAATTCCACCCCTCGCCACCATAGCAAAAAGTTGGCTACTGTTTCCACCTGCTGCAGACTTGCGCGATTTGTCTGACCATTTTCCCTCAGCGCCCAAGATCGTCACTCTGTCGCTCCCCTCAGCCCTCTCCCACCGCTAGAGACATATACACGGATTTATCCAGAGGCAGGCGTTCGCGAGAAACTCACCGGCTAGAAATAGTAAGCCCCGCCTCCTAGAAATCCTTCCCACACATTTTCCTCCTCATCTCTTTCCACTTGTGCTCAATGTATACGACTTTATCCTCCTCTCTGTGTTCCAACAGTTGTAATAGCAGCAAGTGAGTACCTTGAGGGGGGTCTAGGGCGTGGTAAGAGGGAGGAGTTGCCACCTCACCATCTCCAGAGGGTCATTTTCCATGTAAGCCGGAATGTTGGTTTTATTGTATGACTGCTGTACAGACACTTTGGCCAACTCCAACCCCACAACTTGATTTTTTTTCTTCCCCACTTCCCTTTGCCCTGCAGTTTCTCTCTCTCTCTTTTAATTGGGCTCATGCCAGTACAGAGGATACCTCATACCTGACATTGTTAGGTAGACAATGTTACCCGCAAGGCTT